CATGCCAAATATTTTTTAATTTTTGTTTTTTTGGAAGATTTTATGAAGCAGAAACAAAAAACTTAGTTTCCCGTTATTTTTTATAAATAACGTTTTTTATCGTCTATTATATTATATACATATTATAATCTGTCGTACAATCCATTACTTTTCTTTCCTCATCCAATCCATTTCCAGGATACTAGATTAGCACATTAACAACCTTTCATGAATTGCTTTGTGAGGCGCTGACGATGTATGGGCGCTCAGTTGCTGGTTGGCGTTTAATACGTCATAAATTTATAACGGTCAATGGTACAGAAAAAAAAATACATTTTTGGAATGAGCAATAAAGATTAAATTATAGACAATAAAGAATTTTCAGTAAGCAAAAGTATTTTAAAAACTTGTAACATTAAGTTATTAAACCTCAAAATTATAAAACCCCTCTGGTTTTTAATAAAAATGATAAGTCTGAAGTTATTTTTTGTGAATTTCTCACTGCGCTTACCAGACACAAATTGTTAATCATGTGCAGGCCCTGATTTACCCTTTCCTGCACCCGGGTCAAAAATTACTTCTGACTAGGCTCTTTTCCTTTTAAATTTATCGTTTGTTACCGATAAATTTAAACAATAGGGAACTCATCCTGAACACTTTACTTGTGTATAAGTTAATAAATGAATTTTTCCATGTTCACGTTTGTTCGTTCTTTATTAAAAGCACCTTGCAAGGCAATCTATTTTCTGATATTTAACAGTAGTTAGTGGAAGTTTCCGACAGTTTTTATTCTGTACTGTTAACTAAAAAAAAATTCTTTGAGTTTTATTATTTTTTACACGGTTTTCTGTTTTATAATTTTTAACTAATAGTGACATAGTAGCTGAAAAAAAAATCTCAAAATCACATTTTGACTTCAAGTTATAGAGCATCGAGGTTGTATATTCCGTCGTAAAAATAATAGAAATTCATCATCGAATGCACATAAAATTTATTTTAGGAAAATAACTATAAATTTTAATTTGAAGACAAAAACAAAATCCAAAAATGCCAAAGACATGTTAAATCATATAAAAATTTAAAAATGTAATAATTTATTGATTAAACCAAAATATTAAAATAGTTGAAACTGGATTGTTAATTCAAACTGGATTAATAATTTGGGAAACCAAGTCAACGTGGACATTAATAAAAACAAAGTAAATATTTCCTTATGTACCTCAATTTTTCATAAGGAGTATTCACGTCTTGATACATTATTTTGTAGTTTCATGTCTTTTTCACTAGGTAAATTTATTTGAATGTTTAATTAATAGAAACTTTAGAACTAATAATACTAAGCTTGGTTTGTATAGACATTAAAAAACTTTTTGAAATTCTCAAAAGCAACATCTATCCAACTTAGCTAATAAATAAAATTTATATATTTTATCTTACAAAAAAAACTTCTACTAATCAACACGAAAACCAAGAAGTCGTGAAAAACTACTTTACACTTCCTAATGTTAGTAGAACATATCAACTCTATCATTAAAAAACATTGTAAACCTATAAACTTAAACTTCATTTTTACCTCCTTTAAAATATCTAATAAACTTTCACCAAAGGATCCTCTTCCTGTAGAGTTCAAATCATCCGTTGTTTATAAATTTGTATGCGCAGTGTAATTCCTGTTATATAGGCGAAACTTCTCGCTACCTCAAAACATGAATTATTGAACACTACAGGAGAGACAAAAACTCACACATATACAAAATCTTCATGCTAATAACTGTTTTAATAATTATAATAGTGACTATTTCTCGATATTTCTCGATATTTCTCGATATTGGATTCTGCCTGCAATAAATTTGAGCTTAAGGGAAGTTTGTTCATTGAATGGAAAAATCCAGATATAACAAATAGTTAAACAACTAAATAATTGTTATTAACAACAATTGTCAATATTTAATTTCTGGCCACCAGACGGACACTCTTTGCGGTCGTTATAATTATTTATTGTTTCATTCATACAATACAAATAAAAAATTAAACTTTTCTCAGTTAACCTCGGAACTAATACTAATCCCGTTTTAAATAATCGAAATCTAATCGAATAAATTGAAAACTTAGCGAACGAAAAAATTGCAAATTAAGTTTACAAGTATTTCGATTCAAAATAAAATTTTACAGTTGATGAAACATGAAAAATTTCTGAAAAATGGTTTTTTATTAAGTTTATTGAAACTAAAAGTAATCCAAGTTTTTGTTTACAGTTTCCAATCACAGCAATTTTAGGAAAAACATTCTCAACTGAGATAAATACATGAACAAACCCATTATTTAAAATAACAAAAGATTTTGGCCTCGTCCCCGTTTTTGTTTATCGTGTAAAACTTTAACTTTATTAAAATAAAAACCTTTGTTTGGAATAATTTAAAAAAACCTGAAAAACTTGAATAGGTATTATAATATTTGTTTTTAGTTAAACAAAACTGATTTTCACTATTAAAAACTAATTATATTACATTTATAATATAGACACTTACCTTTAATCAATGAAGCTGTCAGCATTGAGGCAAACAGTTTGAGAAAGTAATACTTCATTTTAACTGAAGTTTTAAGGAAATTTGAAAAAAAGAAATTTCGCAAATTTTTCTAAATTGTCAAAGTTCAAAAAAAAATTATTATTAAAACCGAATTGTTAATTAAACCGAATTGTTAATTAAACCGAACTGTTAATAAAAACGTAACCGAATTAATAGCAATATAAGATTACCTTTACGTTTTACTAACCTGAAATTTCCCTTTACGTTTTTCTTTTTCCCTTTTTTTATTCTGTTTCAAATGACTTCTCAAATTATTCTCCGTAGTAAACAAACAAAAAAAAAACGCAATTATTTTGGCATTAATAGTGGTCGACTTTTTGCGCTAATATGCGATATCCCACAAATTGATTTTGATTAAAACAACATGCAAACAAAAAAAAGACTCAAGCAACAGAAAACTACATTTTCATTCTTATTTAAATACTTACTTCAAGGATTTAATATGGAAATGCTTTCACCTGTTAATTTTGTTTCTTATTTCGCGCTATTATGATGATCCTAATGCTTTTTCTTATATTGTTTTTTGTTTTTTTTTGCGCAACTTTAAATTTTGGATAAGGTTTATAGTTCGCCGCTTTGAAGCTCCTTAATTTGTAACTTTATAAATGTTTAACGCTTTAGCAAATACAAGTAACTTGGCAGCTGTTGTTTGCTTTTATTTAGGCAAGTCCCAAGTTAGTTTCTTTTACAAAAGAAATTTAAGTTTATATCATCTTTACAATGTAATCATTTTTTAGTGCTCAAAAAAAGTTCCAAAAATTTATGGAAATGTTATTGAAAATAAAAGCTTATTAAGTCTAAAACTTAAACAGTGGGTTTCAGTGAAACCAAAAACTTAAACTTTGGGTCTCTGGACATAACACCACATGTAGGTCCATCTAGATCATAGTTTGCTGGAATTTACAACAAATTTCAACGTTTTCTGAAAAAAATTAATATTAAATATTTTTTTGAAATAAAATTTTTATATAAAATTCTTTTTTCGTTTTCAATAGTATTTTCATTGGTTCTTGGAATTATTTACTTTTTTTAAAAACCATATTCAAATTGGAAAATAACTTCAAACAACAAAAAGCAATACCACACATATAATGCTTGCTCCATTTCGATGGTAAAAGAAAATTTTTTAGGATGTTCTACGAACGCTCTTTGGGCAACTTTTCAAAGGGTTTTTAAGACGTCCGGATGAAAATAAATTCACTTTTTTCAAATTTAATTTTGTTAATAGATGTAAATAGGCTGGCAGTTTAGTGAGGAAAATTCTATAAAAGAAAAAAAATTAAATATTAATTAACTCTTACAGCAGCAATAGCAACAAAATTAACATGTATTAATTATAAATTAAATTTCTTTCTAATTGTTAAGCCCATTTTAAAATATTGTAGTTTATGCCGTAGTAATTGAGCTTCTTAAGTAATATATTATGGTCAACGGTAATATATTATATTTTAGTCAATGGAATCAAAAGCTATAGCTATAGATTAATAAAGACTCTTAGATTTTCTGAACAAATTTAATAATTGCGTGCTTAGTTAAAAAAAAATTAACTAGACTGTTTGATATACTTTAGGTTATTTTGGTTAAAATATTAAAATGTCCTATTATTTGTTTTTCTTTGTAAAATTTTCCTTCTTTTTGAATAAGTTCAACTTTTTCAATTCATGTTATTTCGAAATTAATGAATAAATACTGCCGAATTTCAAATTAGTTATTAAGGCAAGTTTTATCACTTTGTTTAAAAGTTGGGATAACCTTTGCAATTTTTTAATTGGTCTAAAAAATTTTGTTTTATAGGTGAATTAAAAACTTTATAAAGAGTATCTTTTTGTTTAAATCTATAATTATGTTACAGCTTATTTTATCGGCGATAATTATTTCTTGTGATAGATTTTAATCTAACCAGATGACAACGTCTCACCAATTTCAAACGACTCTCGGACATCTTATGAAGACTTTTATACTAGGATGTCTCTTATAGGTTTTGAAAAATTCTTGAAAACTAAGTCGTCCGAAGGACGTCCCTAACACGTCTTCAAAAATATGCTTTTTTCATTGGTTAAAAATCTTTGTTATAAGAGAGACTTTTTTGAATATTGTGTACTTTTTCAGATTTTTAGTTATTTTTTTATTCTTTTGGTAGAATTGAATAATAATAGAGAAGGTATTAAAAAAATATTATACCGTTTCATATAAAGTTAATCAAAAAACAGTGTTTAGAATTTTTTTAGTTTTTATCTATAATTTTGATGAAATTTCTTCAAAAATAATTTAGTTTTAGTTTTTTTTTATGAAATTTTGAGTTTCATAAAGGAGGTATAATAGACTAGCTATAAACTATACTAAAATTACAATAAAATAATCAGAGATAAAAAATGTATTGTCAGACATGCTGATCAACAATACACAGTACATGTGATTCATTTTTTAAAAAAACAGACATATAAAAATCAAAAAAAGAGCTTCGTGGATATATAACAACTTTCATTACCCAACACATATAAAAACTCTAAAATCTTCAAAGAATAAAAACAAAAAACTTTTCCCAAATAAAAACTAAAAATAAAAGAGAACTAAAAACTAAATATATATAACTTAAGGTTATACATATATAATTTATTTACCAGTTTGTCATCTTCGAAATAGTTTATTATTTTATACTTGAATTAAATTGCCTCTTGTTCTTCTGGTATAAAGATCTTTCAAGGCATTTCATTCTACCTCATACTTCAAATTCCTTAGCAATTAATTGTTAGCGGAGCGCTAATTTTATATTAAAAACAAAAAACGAACATTGTCATAAAATTCTATTTGAATTTTGCCATAAAAATGCATATGAGTTTTTCCTATCATTAAACCCTGCAACTCTTTTTTTTTCTTTTTCTTTTGTAATTATTTGTGAAAATAGCGATTAGAAATAAATTCACTTTATCTATTTTAAGAAAATAATTTAGTTGATGAAACTCAGGTTTGTATTGTCAAAGTATTAACTTTGTTGTTTGTAAAAAAGAACTAGCACTGACTTTGTTGTTAGTAAACAAGAAGAAGCACTGACTTTGTTGTAGGGTAAACAAGAAAAAAGAACATTAAAAATACTGCTCGAGTAAAGTTAAAAAGCAGCATAATCATTACGGTCATTTTCAGGCCAATGTTTTTAACATACAATAATTTAGATAGCTTGATAATAAAATATTTAAATGAAGGAAGCACATTAATCCGGTTCATAATCTCAATTTCATCTTTACATAATTTAAAAACACGAAACCTACTAAGTTTATTTTAATTCCCTTTAAAATTAACAACTCCGCATTTATTCGGGATAATAAATGTAAAAGGTTTAAAAAAAAAAATATTGCTATAACGCCAAAGTACACTTGAAACTTAGTGGAAATAATGGTCATTAGTAAAGTCAGAAAATTGAATATAGTTGTCATTGAACATTATGCACAAACCAAAACGGATTTAAAAATAATATTAACTCTACTAAAAACACCATACTCAGTGTATGGTGTTTTTGGTTTGTGTAATCCGTTTTGGTTTGTTTTTGGTTAACACAATGTAATACTGATTCTTTTGCTTTTTTTTTATATATAAATTATTAAAACAACTTATTAAAAATAATCTTTAAAGCATACAATTGAAAAATTATAAGTTTTTTTTAATTCTAGATGGATCTTGCAAAATGTGAATCTAGCTGGTCTAAACATTATGTTGGTCCTGACCCTTCCCACTCACCCTTCCCTCCAACTGTACTTACACCACGCAGCCTCTCAAAAGAAAAACACGATTTTTATGTTGCAAAAGAAACGTACGAGTGGTCTCTACCATTGTATTTAAAATCAATAAAAAGCCGTGGCGCAGTGGTTAGAATTCTGGAGTACGCAAGAGGTTCGAGGTTTGACACCAGTTCTAGCCCAAAAGGCGACAATGACAAAGAAGAAGGCGTAAATTTCCTAATTAAATACTCTTCCACAAGATTAACTTTGTATTATAAATTAGGGTTGTTCACGAAAGCCAAAGTTGAATTTTCGATTAAAAAAAAAGTTTTCGAAACTCTATTTTCGTTTCGGTAAGTTCGAAATAATTTTAAAGTAATTACTTTTGCATCGAAACGATTTTTTTACTTTCGAAGTTGTAAAATTTGCTTCGAAATATTTTTGCGATTTCGAAATTCTGAAAATATTGTCGAAATAATTTTTTACTTTCGGAATTGTAAAATTTGCTTCGAAATATTTTTGCGATTTCGAAATTCTGAAAATATTATCGAAATAATTTTTTACTTTTGAAAATGTAAAATTTGCTTCGAAATATATTTGCGATTTCGAAAATCGGAAAATATTATCGAAAAAATTTTTTACTTTCGAAATTGTAAAATTTGCTTCGAAATATTTTTGTGATATCGAAATTCTGAAAATATTACACAATATTACTATTAAATTCTAAAATTTGCTTATATTTATTTTATTACTGAAATTGTACAAAATTTTATTAAAATATTTTTATAAATAATTAAATTTTAAAAATTAACATAAAATAATACTTAAAATTTTTGGTGTTACGGCCAGAGAAAAAGGTTTAACTACCTCCCACTATTTTATAGAAGAATCTGCAATTAATTTAATAATAACTCAGGGATCGTTCGCAAATCACCTCACATATTTAAGCCTAGCGTGGTTTCGGATTTTGTGACACTTTTGGGAGCTTTTTTATTTTTAGTAACAGGTTTTTTTAAATTTTGGGGCCCTAATGACTTTTTTAGTGTAAACGCTGTATACACTGGTTTGATAATGGCTCTCTGAAATGCCAGTCCTGGCTAGCCGTAAAACGAGTATTGCTGAGCAGCGCAAGTGTTATTGCCGAAGCGTAACATCAGACATCTGACCAATATATGGGTTTATATGTATTGTTTGCACTGATAAGTCCATAGACGTAGAGTTTTTATTTTTCCAGATTGGGCTCAAACAGTGGCGTCAATTCAGAAAAAACTTATAAGGAGGGGCCAATTTGTGAAAACAATTTAACTCTTTAGGGGGTAACAAATTTAGGGGGTCTTTTTCAAATTTTTGAGGGCCTTTTACCGAATTTGCCCCATGGACATCTGCTGCCCGGGACAAACAATACCTTCCCCTTCACCTCTCTCGCCTGATTAGATTAAGCTTCATGACTTTTTACTTTTATAAAATTATTTTTAGGGATTATATTTACCCTCACCAAAAGCTTGAATAGCCTTTTTGATAGCTTGAAAAGCGTTAAAAAAATAAAAAGTTTTTT